TTCATTCGGTTGTATTTTGATTAACTTATTTCATTCCATTTGTTAGATATTTGTTTCTAGACTAATTTGTCTGTGGTATGTTCTGTCTCTCTGGTCAATGAAACATATGGAGATAACGAACAGTATCTATGATCAAAAGTCTATAAAACAATACAAGATAGGAGCAGAGCAAACAAATACCTCCAAAACGTCAGAGGTGGGATCAGGTGCCATGGAGGAGTGGATATCCCCTGCCGACCGGTCATACCCGCCGCGTGCTTCTTGTCATGATCTGGAAAAAACGGAAAAATCAGTCGACAAGTCAGCGTGTTAATAACTGGACTAACAATTAGTAAGAAAAACGTCAGTCAGCATTTGACTAGGTGATACACTGTAAATAGTATTTACTGACAAGGTCATTGTTGAAGGCCACAGCGAGTATTTTATTCATTTCACGCATAAGATTTTGCACAAATTCTGCTTCATAGGAATACAAATAAGGTCTGCTAGTAGCGGGGAGCTATTCGTACCAACAGGAATTCCAATATTTCTCGGCAAAGCACAGGGAATGCAATAGAAGATGTTACAAACTGTTTGATTGAAATTTCCAAACATAACATTAAAATGCCAGTTGATGTAGTAGAGTTGAACAAAATAAAGAAAGACTTTTATGAAATTGCTCATTTTCCAAACACTGTTGGGGCAATAGATTGTACTCATATTAGAATGAAAGCACCAACCATCGACGAACACTTATATGTCAATCGCAAAAACTATCACTCCATAAACATTCAAGGAGTACATGTATGTGATTCAACTTTGAAAATTTTAAATATAGTTGCAAGATGGCCCGGAAGTACTCATGATGCTTTTATATGGTCTAATTCGGAATTAAAACGTCTGTTTGTGAACGGCACGATAAGTGAGGGTTGGTTATTAGGAGATAGTGGATACCCCTTGCGCCCATGGCTGTTAACACCCGTGTTAAACCCAAATTCTCAAGCTGAAGAGAGATACAACACATCCCACATTCTAACAAGAAACGTGATAGAAAGGGCTTTTGGTGTGCTAAAAGCTCGTTTCCGGTGCCTGGACAGTAGCGGCGGAACACTTCTATACAGTCCCGACAAGGTGTGCAAAATATTTGTTGCCACAGCAGTGCTACACAACATGTGCATCATCGACAGAATCCCACTCCCTGAAGGATGTGATCCCCACGATAATGGACACATACGTGCTCAACAATTCGCTGAGAATTTAAATGGTGACGGAGAAAATGTCAGATTAAGACTAGTAAATGAATTTTTCAGACATTGAATGCCTGGCTGATTGCAATTGTCTAGCTTGTGCTTAGTACATTTGTCTTTTAAAATCATCATGCATGCATGTATATCGAAAATCTAGAAATACCTGTAGGTTTATTCTTAAGAAGCATACAATTATTTTATAAAACATACCATACCTTCATTGTTTTATTTTTTATGAATAAGTCTGCAGTACTTGTTTATTACATTTTACTCGTGTGCGATGCTCGTGTCAGCTCCTTGGGGTATACATGTAAACTGAACACCTAACTGCCCTAAATAAATTTGATGACGTTGTTGTGATATGATTAATTTTTGTTTCTCAATTTCAAGTCTCTGCTTTTCCACTTCAAGTCTCTCCTTTTCAATAGAAAGTCTCTCCTTCTCTACAAGAACTCTCTTCTTCAATTGCGACTAATCTTTGGGAGCTTTGATTGTCCTCATCCTGTATATGGCGCTTCCTGGAGGACACTTTTTTGGGTGGATCCATTTCATTGTTCCCACTGGTAGACGGTTTATCTTAATAAAAAAAAAAGAATTATTTAGTCTTACTTATAAAAATAATTTACCCTTCCTAAATTAATAGGCTACATACTTCAGTAGCATTCGTTTTACCCTAACCCACTTTTACAGCCAATATGCAACCGCTAAATATTTTTTGGGATTATTTACTTAATAGACATAAAAATTTCATTGATAATTTTGAGATACAAAGGCGAAGGAGAAAATATTCTATAAATGCGGAGTTCAACTTTGAATTGGGCAATGAATAAGCGGCATTTTTATAATATACATGAATGGTATATTTATTTTTACCTTGTAAACTTATAGTTGAAGCAGAGCTGAGGCTGCTGCATGCATCCTCGAATTCCCCGCAAGTGTCTAAACCTCCTGAAATTCCCTCGATCGCCGTGGGCCCCATAATACCAACAATTTTATCTTGAAGCGGCGTAAGCTCAGGAGGTGCCATTCCTCCCCCGGTCTTCACTGACTCTTTCCGATTTGAGGAAATCCTATTTTTCGTGTCACTGGCATAGGTTGACCATTTCTTTCGAAGTTCGTCTACGGTTCTAGTGTGTCCCGAAGACACAGCATTAACCTTTTCACAAATCCCCTCCCAAACTCGTTTTTTGGAAATATTGGTTACAACATTTGAATGTTTACTAAAAATAATGTCCTTATTTTTCTCCACATTATCCAAAAGTATTTGGAGTTCCATTTCACTAAAGTTTGGGTTCCTTTTTCTGCTCATTGCTGTAACGTGTAAACCCTGAAGTCTAAAACTATAACAGACCTTATTCAAACCCTATGAGTGTATTCGATTAAGACAACCCGTGTCGCACTAGTGTTAGATATGCGCATGCTCACTGATAGAACTCTAGTGATCTAAATAAAACATCTCGTGTTGTTGAGTGTTTGTATAAATATGGCGGGGAACACAGTATATTCCCTGTATATCTGGTTTGGACAGGACAAACCATTGATTAACAAACAATATCCAAAAATCAAATAAAGAATAGCAGATAACTAAATACAAGACCTCAAAGCAGAAATTAATTGTTCAGCAAAATGTATTTTTTACAGATACAACATGTATTTTAGATTATTTATCCTTGCAATATTTTTTAACAAGTCAATACCTCCTCTTATCAAGATAACAAGAGGCCCATGGGCCACATCGCTCACCTGAGAAGCTTTGACCATTCTGTTCTTTACCAGATTTCCCCCTTGTAATACATTATGTATCCCCACCCTACCCCACTGATCATAATTAAGACATTTTGAAATCAACTACCCCAGGATCCTTCCATGTGCAAATAAGTTTCAGCTTTTCTGGCCCAGTGGTTCTTGAGAAGAAGATTTTCAAAGATTTTTCCTATATATTTCTATGTAAAACTTTGATTCCCCATTGTGGCCCCGCCCTTCCCCCGGGGGTCATGATTTGAACAATTTAGAATCTACACTACCCTAGGATGCTTTCACATAAGTTTCAGCTTTTCTGGCCCAGTAGTTCTTGAGAAGAAGATTTTCAAAGATTTTTCCTATATATTTCTATGTAAAACTTTGATTCCCCATTGTGGCCCCGCCCTTCCCCCGGGGGTCATAATTTGAACAATTTAATATCTACACTACCCTAGGATGCTTTCACATAAGTTTCAGCTTTTCTGGCCCAGTGGTTATTGAGAAGAAGATTTTTTAATGACCCCACCCTATTTTTGTCTTTTCTTGATTATCTCCCCTTGCGAGGGGATCTGTCCCTTCATTTTAACAATTTAAATTCCCCTTCACCCAAGGATGCTTTGTACTAAGTTTGGTCAAAATTGGCCCAGTGGTTCTTGAGAAGAAGTCGAAAATGTGAAAAGTTTACAGACGGACAGACAGACAGCTAGACGGACGGACGACGGACAAAATGTGATCAGAAAAGCTCACTTGAGCCTTCGGCTCAGGTGAGCTAAAAAAAGTAGAATAAGAATGTTTTCACATACATATATGTCAATAGTATTGTATATTATTGTGACGAGCCATCGTTTTTGAAAGGGGGGGGCAAGCCAGAGAAAAAAAAGAAACTCCTATTTAGTTAGAGGAGGGGGATGTAGGTCCCACTTCCCTCAGCACCAAAATTTATTCATACAAGACGACTTCAACCTTGCTTGGCTTTACTGTAACAAAAAGGGTGAGGAAGCTTTCGGTGGTCTTTCAATGAAGATTTTTTTAAAAGTAAAGAGATGTTTGGGAAAAAAGTGTGGGGAGCGCTTCCACCAGCTGCTACGTGCCTGTATTCTCTCCCCCGTAACGTTTTGCATGGGGTATAATAATTGGTCAGAAAAGTACCATAGCTGACATTTTTTATTGATATAGCTTTAGTTATAGGATGTGAGAGACATATACCTTTACTAAAAATGTGACGCCGGTTGGAAAGAAAACTTGAGCTAATGTGTTTATTTCATGGTCTTAAATGGCTGTGGATTTTAATTTTGAGTCTGTATAAATAATGTTCAATATTTTTTTTGAAAAAATACGTATGAAATTATTATTGTAATTAAAGGCTGAAAAGGTAATTTCTATATACTTTTTACATTTATTGTAAACAAAGAATCGGTTGGTTCTGGGGACCCGCAGGCATGTTCACGAAGCTATCTTGTGTCCTAAGAACGTCTTAGGAAATGTCCTAGTTTTAAGTCAGTTTCTCGAAGCTTTCCTAAATTTAGAATCTTTCCTAAGTTTTTCCTAACTTTAGAACAACATAATACCTGTCCTAAGATCATCCTAAGTTTGTTTTGATGCTTATGATTTTGAACATTGCAAGTATAAGCGATAATTTCTTGTTTCTCAACAGTCCGTGTATGAAGGTAGATCACTTAGAGGTTATTATTTTTTAAACTATAAATCTTAACTATACAATTTGTTTGTTTCAATACGATTTACAAGCGGTGTTAAATACTTTATAATATCAAAAAAGGCAAACATTGAAATATACTGAAGTCACATGGACATGTAAATGTATTTCCTTTTTTAATGTTATGTAATTTCTTTCCCGTAAAATGTTTCCAAAATTATACATTTATCGATAAATGTTTAAGATACAAGTATTCATTGTAAGTTAGGATGTCCTAACTTAAGATCTTCCTAAGTCATCGTCGAAATACATCTTATGATACGTCCTAAGTTGATCTTAGGATGTTCCTAAGTTTCTTCCTAAGTCATATCTTAGGAATCGTCTTAACAAATCTTAGGAAAGTTTCATGAACATGCCTGCTGGAGTAAAATCAACTCAAAGTAAAAGTACCTAAAATCACTCGGTATTTTACAATAAAAACGCTTTATTCGTTTCATTTAACATAAATTTTGTATCTGTCAGACAGTTTATAAATCTCATGAGAGGAAATACATTTTAATTATAGTTAAGGGAATGGTTGCGTGAGGGTGTGTGTGAATGCGTATGTGAGCACTCATATCTAAATATATATTGTAAATATATACTCTGTTCATTGTATTGTAATCTTGACTTGTTGTATAGAGAGGGTATTTATAGGCTTTAAGCCCGTTGCCCAATCTATTCAGTTTACTGAATAAATACTGTTTAAATCAATTATATTTTAATTAATTTTTACCTCGAAATTAAAAAAAAAATTAAATTTATTTATTTTCTAAGCGATAAACATTTTCTGTTAAAATCTTGGAACTTGCTTTTGAACTTAAATATTGTGAGTTGATTTGATATTTTAATTTTCTGCGATTGTATTGTCCACATACAATCAATTTTTAACTATACTTCGGCGCTAAATTTTACATTTTTTAATTTAAAATGTAATCGTCGGACATGGTTATGACAGGGCATTTTTTTCTCATAATCTTATGTTCTGAGCCGACATTAAGTCTAATATTACTATACCATCAAAATGCTTAATTTCTGTCCGCGCCAATTAAAGCAGTTAATCAACCAAATAAAATGGCATTCATTTTGCGACACCTTTTCCCGCTTTTTCATCGACGATTAATGATGATTGACCAATCCGCTGAGTCGATCTATCGGGAATCATGCTCCAATGAAGCGCGTCCTTTTAAATAGCTGCAACTGCAATAACTACTCAATATTGGCCAACATTACCTTGTCATAATTCTCCCTGCACGTGCAGCGTCCCTTACATGTCAAGATTTCCCACATCACCTCGGAGACATTGGACATTCCTGCACATGCGGCTCTTGTGGTTTGTGTCGTGAGAAAGTTAACATAATTGTTCGCCATAATTAACGCATTTGCACGTTGTGTTTTCATTTGAATTCCTTGACTAGTTTCTATTTATCAAATCAAACATTAAGAACAGTTTGTTGTATCTGCTCGCTCATGTAGAATGTTGATAAAAATCGCATGAAAATTCATTGCTTTTATCAAATGTAGGTTTACCTTTTCATTTTCGCTTATGGCATAATACTCATGTAATATGAGCTGTCAAGGTAAAAGTTACAGGTATATTGTATTCAAGATTTTATATTTATACACTGTATTTACTAAAAATAGTATTCCTTTAAAGTATTTTTTGACCCCATTTTATCGAACTTTAAGTATTTTGCATTAATATAGATATGGAATTTTTTTTTTAGAAAAAAACATTGAAATAAACTTTTAACTTATCGACACACACACAACACAGAGAGAGAGAGAGAGAGAGAGAGAGAGAGAGAGAGAGAGAGAGAGAGAGAGAGAGAGAGAGGTTAAAACTCTATTAATTATTATTTTAACAACGTATTTTTTAAACTGTAAAATTCATTTCTATAAAAACTAAAAGTAAGATCAACTTTAAACATCTGAATGGCTAGTACGTTGAAACAAAAATGTTTTGTTTTTTTTTTTTCATTTAAATTGTTGTTGTCAGGTTAATAAGATTTTTCACAGATTACTAAATACAGCTGTTTGAATTAGGCCCTTTAATAAAATTTACGGTATTTCGAATTCGAATAGTGAAGTCAAGAGATTCAAAAAAATGATTGATTGAATTCAGTGATGAGTGATCATTGCTCTTATATAATGGCACAAAGAGTTTTTCATTTTGATTTTTTTTTATCTTAATTTTTTTTTATATAAAGATAGTGAAAGGATGATTTTCTACAAACCAGGAAAAAAATAAGAGTTATCAGGAAAATCAACATTTGGCGATTCACTTTATTATTCGCTTTCACTTTATCACATAACATTATGTCCCAAGTCTGACATAATGGCGTTTTAATCCTTTCAGATTTATTACAAGATAGGAGTTAAAGTGGGTTTATTGAAACCCAAATAATAATTCACATTTGTTTAAAACAAATAACAAAAACAAGATGTTTATGGGAAAAACTGATGCCTCCGTGGCTAACTTATGACGATAGTTGAACTTTCTCAAATGTAAGTCAAACTCCAAGGTCAAGGTCAAAAGGTAAAAACTGTTGGTTGTCAAAGGAATGTCTTTTCATAAGGAATAAACCTGTGAAATATAAAAGCCTTTTGTACTAACTGTCCAAAAGATAGGACGAAGGATAGAGATTTTTTTAAGAATGGGCCAAACTCTAAGGTCATGGTCAAAATATTTATATTAGTATCTATTAAAAGGTCTTGTCAAGATAAATACTAATGTGAAGCTTGAAAGCCTTAGTTCAAAAGTCATGGCCTATGTTAATTAGGGCTGGGACGATATATCGATATATAGTGATATATATGAGGACGATACACATATCGATACATTTGAAAAAATATCGAAATATCCCCCAAAAAATCTGACTTCTGCTTTTCTTTATTTAACATTTGGGGTTCAATATATAAAATAAATAAGTTAA